TCTGTGAATTTAACATGATACCAACCATCACATAAGTCACAGCAGATCCACTATTCTCCGTAAGCTCCATGAATATTACACTTTAGGCAGACAGTGTTGTCCGCCTCATCACTGTCCCTATCATGTCTAGCTGGAAGATTTTTTTTTCTGGTGATCTTTTTTCTCGGAGTGTTATCTTTCTTTGCTGCTTCATCTCTCAGTCGCTTCAAACATTCATCACCTGTTTTTTCTTGGAGTGTTATGTTTCTTTGCTGCTTTATCTCTCAGTTGCTTCAAACATTCATCACCTGTTAGGCTTTCTCCATAGCAAAACCTGGAGACTCTAGCCAACCTGCAATATCCTGAAGTTTGGGCAAATCTAGGCTGAAGTTTTTTGAGAAAAAAGTCTCTAATAGAAGACTTTCCTGATGATGAAACAGACAATGATGTTTGCGGTCCTGCAGGTGCTGAAGTGTCAATGATGTTTGAAGGTCCTGCAATTGCTGAAGCAGGTGTTCAAGCAGGTGAAGATGTTTGAAGGTCCTGCATGTGCTAAAGCAGGTGCTGAAGATAAATATGATAATTTTTTTTGATGATGCAGAAGTTGACAATGATGTTGAATATGATACACATATTAGTGATGTTAATGCATTGTGAGCACTAGTGATGGGAAGTACTTTTGTAGAGCATGGCACAGTTGGGGTGGGCAATGTGGGTTTTTCTGTAACCTTTTTTTGCAGACATCATAACTTGAGGACACTGTTTAAAGGGGCTTATGTCACTGGCATTCTTGTTAAATGGAAAAATGCCAGTTTCCTTGAAACCACTTTTGACTTGTTCTATCGTGAATGAACTTTGGAAAAGAGAGTGTAGCAGACCAGGGAAATGCTTTTTTGATACTGGTCCATAGTGCGTTCTTGCATATTTCAATAGCAGGCTTTGCCATTTGCTCTTCACAGGTCGGAAAACTGATGTATCCAGAGGTTGGAAAAGATGGGTTAGTTGAGAGGGCGAATGTAGTAGGATGACATTGTTATTTTTTGCTGATTCAATAAGAGGCAAGCTCACATGTGAGGCAATGTCCATCAAATATGAGGATTCTTTTGTGGTTTTCAAGATGTTTTGTGTTCTTAAGAAAAATATTGTGAAACCAATCCAAAAACTGAGGTGATTCCATCCAGCCTTTTTTACTTGTTGTATAAGCAGCTCCATCAAGACCACGCTCAACCCACTCACAATACAAATTTTTTCCTTTGTACACAACATAAGGCGGCAGTATCTGGCCACTTGCAGAGCATGCAAAATTTACAGTTATTTGCTCGCGTCCTGAGCCACCAATGCTCTGAGTCACTCTAGTAGCACCTTTTTCTGCTAACACAACTTGAGTTTTTGGGACAGTTACAAAACCTGTTTCATCGCAGTAGAATATTTGACTTGGTAGGCAGATAACTCCAGCATCTTGTAGAGTTTTGGACCAGCTGAAACCATTTCCAAATGATCTCAGGGTCTTCAGCCTTGGCTCTCACATTGCTGAGGTGTTCTGTTTTTCTCGGAACTACTTTCGGATGGCGTTGCAAAAAGTCACACAACCAGCCCCTACTTGGTCAACCATTGATGAAAGGAACATCAATACCATTTTTTTTTACAAATTCTTGTATTATGTCTTTTACCTCCTCTTTACTAAAACCCCAACCCCACTCAGCTAACACAATAAGGCAGTCTGCCAGTTCTTCTTCCTTCTTAGATGTTAAAAAAGTTCGCTTCCCTAGATAAGAATTTACTTGTATTTCCCCTCATACTCTTCGTAAAAGAGCCTTTTTATCAACTCCATAATGCATGAAAGCATGGTTGGCAGACATCTGCTTACATATGACAGAATTGTAGGCATCTATCATTGCTTGGCTAGTTGCATACGACTTCCTTCTTTGTTCCTCTCTCTTTTTGTATGTTCGAATCATTCTGCTAAATAAAGGGGCAATAAGCTCCATTAACAAAACTATATTTAAAACAGTATTAAACTATTTCTAAAAATAAATAACTTTTGTTTTCAATTTAAACTATATCTGTGTAATGTTTTTGAAATTAAAACATTGATTTTATTTATCTGATCGATTTTATTCGGTTGTTTTAACCACCCTTTTGGCATTTGGGGGCATTACGCCCCTGCTAATTAAAAAAATAATTTTTATAAACTAATTAAACTAATTAACAATCAAAAGAATCAAATTTCTCTTAGAAATGCTTTCTATTCAAAATATTTAATGGAAATTTGGTAATAACGTGAATTTTAGAGCTATTTATAAACAATTTCTTAGACATTCATCGAACGGCCATTTTACTTTGCTAACATTTTCCTAAATTTGCTCTACAAATATAAGTATTTTAACTCATTTATTACATACACAGATAGTTATAAAGATAAAAATAGTACTTACTAAGTTTATATTTACTTGTATTTTTAGTCAAAACAAACGCGCATTTTTATGTATTTGCATTTTAAGTCAAAACAATTACGCGCTATTTTTACGGTTTTTAAAAGTTTTTCAACAAGTTTGAAGGAAACGGAAAACTAGATGTAAAAATCACTCATCCATAAGTTCTAATTAAATATCAATGCCATCGGTTAGAAGCCCAGTTATTTTTGAGAAAGGGTCCCTGATTGGTTAGTTAGTATCTATGATGTAAAATTTAATGTCCCTTTCTTTTAATACAATAACGTTTGGCATTTTATTTTATCAACGGAGTTGTTATCGGCATTTTATTTTATCAATGGAGCTTAATACCCTATAGTTTTATATGTAAAATAAATAATGATATATTTTACCCATATTTTTTCTATAACAACTTATAAAAAAAATTATATGAAAAGTATAATAAGAAATGAACTGAAATTAAAGTCTATAGGTTGTTCAGTAAAGCCAACGAATTAGTTTAATTAGTAAATTTTTTGTTTTAAATTTTAAACTGTCACAAAGTTACGAAGTTTTTAAGCGAAATATAAAATAAATGTTTTGCACCAATCAGATTTTAATAAAGCTACCTTGTGACCCGCAAAACTTTACTATGCAAACTCAGGGTATCAACGCTTCAAAAATTTGTATATTCACAACAATATCTTGTGTGCTTGGAGTAACCTTTATTCAGAATGGGCACATCAGATTTACTTCAAATTTTCTGTATGAGTAGTTTAATAAATAATATAAAGGAAACTTTAGTTTTTTGAAGGACCCATGTCAACTTTAGGAGCAGTGGTTCATAGAAAAATACCAAGAATTTACAACGTAAAATTACACTATTATTTATTTCTAAAAATAAACATGAAATATATTAAGACATACATTGACTCTTTTGTAGAAAAAAAAAAAATTATCTTCATTTGGTTCACAAATAACAATGCAGCCTATTTTGGCATAATTCTTTTTTTTTTCATAAACTTTCATCCATCTAATTTAATTTCCAGTGAGGTAGCACTCAAATAAATACAATACCGTTGATGGGGGTAACTAAAGCCACTTTCGAAATTCAAACTTCTGCCCAAGTCAGACCCTTTAATTTATAGGTTAAATAAATACTGCAAAACTTGGGTCTGTGGTCATATATTAAAGAAATATATTCATAAATTGCAGAAGTATACATTTTTTTAATAAAAAAAAATGAAAACATGGTGGTTTTAGTTACCCCTGGAAAAGGGGTAACAAAAGCCATCCATTAAAAAGCAATGTTTGGCTTTAGTTAGAGAGTACTAGGGTAACTAAATCCATAAATCATGCATCTGTAACAATAAAGAACCACTATTGACAAGAAAAAAGCTTTATTATTTAAGAAAAACATTAAAAAGAGACAAAAATATTATTTAAAATAGGTCTTGTTGAAATCAGTGCTTTACCGGTAGTTCATAAGGAAAAGTATAACGTCCTCTGTTTACTTTGGATGGCTTCACAATTGAAATGACGTCTGTTAACTGAATGTCCATTTCGTCATCAACATTTGAAAATATATAGTAATTTCCTTTTGATTTGGAGCTTCTTCTGAAAAACTTTACTGTAACTTCGTTCTTCTCGAAACAAGTTTTAAAAATGACTCCATAGAACTGTTTGGTGGTTTCTTTTTTTGTGTTCTTATCAAAAATGAGCTTAACAATGACGTGAATATCAGGTTTAAGTTCTCCTTTAGAGACTCCTACTTTGGGGGTTCGTCATAAGTTGTTCCTTCTAGTTGTAGATCTACTGGTATCTCCGATTCCAGGTCACTAAATGTTTCTGGATCCATATCTGAATTAGAGTCTCTCAAAGAATACTGGTCATCACTATCATCAAATGAGTCAGAATTCACAAGTTATTATGTTTCAAAGTCTTTATTTTGCTGTGGTTTTCCTTTGTTTTGGTATTGGGTGTATTGGACCTATTTGGTTCAGGATCATCATCATTGATCAGAATTGTGTCTTCCATCCCTTCAATCTTCTTTCCTGCTGGGACATTAAGTTTCCTTTTCTTCCGCTGTTTAAGAGGTTCGGTCTCTCTCTTCCTACTTTCTTCAAAAAAGGCTTTGATAGAATCAGTCCAGTTGTTGCTTGAATTAAGCTCTTCAGATACTGCAGTGGCATCACCATCAGGAAGCCTTTTCAGAATTTCATTCGGTCTAAAGGTACAATACCAGCTGCCTTAAATCCACTTTTTATGTTTTTGCTTATGTTTTCCTCTCACAAAGCATCAAGACACTTTTTCAGAAGTTTTGGAAACCTGTCTTTTAAAATAGACCCACGATTAGCCTCTTTCCACTCTGTCAAAGTCTGGCGCCATTAATGGCCTAAAGAATGCCACATCTAAAGGCTGCGTGAAGTGTGTACTGTTAGGAGGTAGCAGTATAAACTTGATGTTATTTTTGTTGCATTCTTCAATAATATGGGCAGAGATGTGACTCGACAAATTGTCTCCTATCAAAACCTTCTTGGCATCACTGTCAAATTTTTTAAAGTAGGGCAAAGCTAATCTCTGAAACCAGTTTTCAAAAATTTCCAGAGTGAACCACCCGCTCTTCGATCTATTATACACAGTGCCTGCTGGACCATTCTCTGTCCAAGAGTCATACAGATGGGCTGCCTTATAAGTTATATAAGGAGGCAGTAGCATTCCACTTGCACCTCCAGAAAACATTACTGATGTGCTAGACTTAGAAGAATCCACTATACGCTCTGGATGCCTTGATCCCCTTTTCACGATCACTTGTTTTCTCCCTAGGTTGTCAGTCATGTTTGTTTCATCGTAGTTTACTATCATTGATGGATCAACATCCTTTAATGTCTTTTCTAGTTCATTAAAGTAGTTATTCACGATGTCCCTACTGATAGCCGCTCGACTTCTTTTATTGTTTTGACCCAACCGTTTGAAAAGATCTTTACTGTTTCTTTTGAGAAAACTGTCAATAAAATCAACTCCAGGCATATTGTTTTTTGAACCTAACTTCATTTCGGCCACACCGATCTAGGTAACCTTTCACTATTAGTCTTATGTCTAGTGCTGTAAGAGGGAATCCCCACTCTCCGGCCATGCTTATAGATTCAACTAATCTTCTTTCTTCTTCAGAATTAAGAACTGGAGGCCTACCACATTTGTTAACCTTGCCTTTCAGGGCAGCAGTGAGAGAAAATCTTGATATAGCAAATTTCTCAGCAATCTTTCTTAAAGATGACCCTTTCTTCACTTCTTCTACCGCTATTTTCAGCGTTTCATCTGTGTAATCCTTATACTTCCGGCTACCAAGCTTCTTATTTGGGTTTCGAGGCATTTTTAGTCCTAAAAAAGAGAAAAAATTTATTACTTAAGGAATTTTGACTTATTATAAAGTATGGGGTAACAAAAACTACCTTTATGATGTGGCTTTAGTTACCCCATGTTGTGTATCACTGAAGAAAAAAAACATCACAACAAAAGAAAGAATCAAGTTATAGGTTATAACCTTTAATGGTGTGATGAAACATAAATTAAGGTTATGTTTGTTGAGAGTTATGAAAATTTAAGATTAAAAATGATTTGTTCAGAGCAGAAGTTATGCAAGGTAACTTTTTTATCGATTTTTTAGGTAAAATATATAGTTTTACTGTACACTTACCGTGATATTGTTTTAATAATCCAGACAAGTATTTGGAAAGCAGTCTAAGTTCCTATTAGAAGAACAAAACATCAGTTGTTGAATCCAATCAGTGCTGCCACTATCACCATCCAAAAATTACCTGCTATAATGGCTTTAGTTTCCCCGTAGGCTTTAGTTACCCCCATCTACGGTACAAATTCTGTTATGCCTCCAGATAATAAAAGTACTTTAAGTACAGTTTTGATTCTTCTTGAACTTTTGCAATTGGTTATCATGGATGCCATATCGAAATTTAGAGTTTGTTTCAAGATTTGCATTAAGGCTGTTTCTTTTTTGTCTTAGCTGGAGATCGAGTTATCTTTCGGTTCAGTTAGATCTGGACTTATATAAATCTGTTTATGATCAATTCTGTTCCTTAATTTTTTTGCTGCTGAAAAAACTGGATTTTTAATGGATAATTTATTCAGTTTAACTAAAATTGGACCAGGCTTTATTTGTCTTTTGATCTTATTTTCTGCTATAAACTGCTTTAATATCTGCTTTGCCAATAAAATCAAAAACATTTGTTATCTTTTTTTTCATATTTATTTCTCTTAATTAAAAAGTCAGTTTGACTTGATTCTGGAATTCCATAAACAATTTAATTCTTAAAAGAAGGAGAAAAAAAAGATATTAGCAAATGTGTCTAGTGAGTTTTTCGTCATTCTTTACTACACAAGATTTTATACAAACGCAAGAAATCACGATCACACACCAGCATCGATGAAAGCCCCAAGGAACCGTTACAGTCAACCTTTTAAATACTAAGTTCTGAAACTATAAAAAAAAGAAGGAAGAATTTTATCACATTTTAGGCAAAAAAGATTATAATATAGAGCCATTAAATGAAACTAGTGTGTTTTTGAAGCAAAAACTAAACAGCGAATTACTGCTTTTTGCTTGCCGCCATCACGTGTTCGAACTGGTTTTAAAATGTGTATTTGAAACAAAAATCCATCAAGTCGCAAGTATTAGAGACAACTGGAAAACTATTAATCTGGCCGCTATTAAAACATAGACTCATATCGTCAAACAACATTTAGTAATACAGCATTTGAAGAATTGTTGATATTTTATAATCAAGAACTGCAAAAAACTATTGTACGTGATGATTATCGGGAATTAATTGTTAATTTCTCAGAAGTTAATAATTAGAAAAAAAAAATTAAAATCAGACCTCTTGGAGCATAGCATTAAGCGAGGGGGGCGGCTTGAGCTATTTATTCTTTAAGGATATGCTTTTTGCAATCTCAGATTAAAATTAGCTTCAGTGATAAACGAGTACTTTAATTTTGTGTCTCTCAAGATTATAAATTTATTTTCTTGATTAAAAATTAATAAGAACTTCCTACAGACACCAGTTTCAACGTAGAATGAAGATGTTGTTTATAT